TTGTTCAAAAAATCCTGCTTTCTTTCATTCTTTCTCCCCGCCTTTTTGTTGGCCCTGAATGACTGAGGTTCAGTCGTAATAAAAAAAAAAAAAAAAAAAAAAACGATATTTCCCTCCCTTCTTTGTCTTGTCTTTTTTCTTTTCTCTTTCTTTTTAATTACTATTTCTTTTGATCTATATCTATCTTTTTCTCTTACTTCTGTCTTTCCTTTTCCTTTTTTTCTTTCGACTTTCTTTTATTCATTTCGTTGTACAAGTTTTTTCATGTTCAGTCAAATACGATTTTTCCTCTGCTTTTATTCCAAAGTGTAAACTTACCTCGAATTCTACTAAAGCTTGTCTTATCTTAGGTAATAATGTAACATATCTGCAAGAAAAGAATTAGTAAATCTTAAAACGAATTGAATATAATAGGATAAGAAACACTGATATTAAGAAAGGAAAGAAATCAATATTTACAAATGGCTAAATAAACACAGTAGCAATCTTAACTATTAAGAGATTAACAAATAACAAGAAAGGATAAATAAATAATATAATTCACGATGTTTGGATAAAATATTCGAGTAAACAAAATTTGAGTCGTTTTTTCCTTTATTTATTTTTTATTGCTTGATTCAAAATTAATAATCCAGATGTATAAAGGCTAAGTAAAAGTAAACAAGCCATGTCGGGTTCATCGTTTTAAAGGCTTTAAAACGGATTAACGAATAATTAAGTATTACGAATTTTATGAGATCGTCTTTACGCCGGTATTTTCCCGCCACGCTGGCGTCCGCGTCAAAAAAGGCGGGAAACAAGAATAAACTTGAGCTAATTCAATTAATCTGAATGGAATTAATATAGCTGCAGTCATAAATGCTGTCTCTTGCTTGTATATTGAAATGGCGTTTAATAATATCATCGAGAGGGCTCTTTATTTGGAGCCATTTTTCTTAGATTAGTGAACGATTGATTAGAAAGTTAAAAGTATGGAAAGAGAGAGTACGTACATCATAAAAAAATGCCGCGGTCGGGAATGCAATGAATTTTTCAATTATTCCGATTTTATAGTAATAAAATAAACTTTCCGTCGAAAAAAAAAACTTTATTTACAAAATGGACATGGACTCCAGAAAGATTCAGAAAAATATTTATAATTTATAAAGAAACGAAGACAAAAACATTTTAGACGACAAGTTAATCATATTTTAGGTTTATATATTTTATATTTCTTATCTACGACTCAATTGACAGAGGAGAAGAATGAACAAAACCGCGGTGCGCACAAAAGAACTAGCCAGGTCAGGTTCTGATAAATTTGTTCAACTTTTTTAATGGCAATTAAATTATGTTTTACTGTCGTTATCTTAGCGGAAAACCTGCATGAAACTTCACAACAACCACAGTTGGTATCCGGAACGCACCCGGTTGGATTGAGTTGAGCCATCTTTTTAAACAAGAAACTAAACAAACAGATAGCAGTTAAAGGAACTAAGAAACTGTTTCTCAGCATAAACAATTTAAGATAAGGGTAATCTCCAACCACGCTGTATGTATAATTTAACAACATGATTGAATCAACCAAATGAAAATGGTTGGCGAATAAACAATATCTGCTTTAATGACTCTCTCAGATGTAGAAGCACCCCGCTGCCGAAACACGAGCAATTTTAGGTTATTATTTTGGACAAAAAGTCTCAATACAGCTGTATTTTCACGTGGACCGACTGTCTGCCCTCAGGTCAAAGGCTGTAAACTTTTGCAGCCTGAATGCATGGCGTTTGCGTATCCGATCAATCAGGATACGTCTTATTTCTGACCCAAATTCAATTTCAAATGTCTTCAGGAAAAAAAATGGGCTTTTTTTTAGTAAAAAAAAAAAGATATGGAGAGAGATGAAAAGAGGATAAGAAATGTGGTTTTTATGTTATATCATATTTGAAAGAAAAGAATCGAAATGTTTAAGAAATCCTATGTCGGTCCATGTTGAGTTCTCTCCATGGCTTATGCTGGTGGAGTTCCTGTGGAATTGGTGTGAATTTCGCGCCAAAACGCGAGCTTGCCTTCCCAATTCTAGGACTCGTTTAGTCCAGAGTTGGACCCAATTTTATCGGTGCGCGCGCGGCGGAGACTAAGCGAGTAGAGGAACTGAATAGATTGAGCTTTGGTAAGAATTATAGATAATCAGTTAGAGAGAAAAATGGGTCCAGTTCTGGACTAGGACAAGTTACGTCCATTTGCTACATACGTAGCATCCCTAATGTTGACCCTTTATATAATTTTTTTCTGATATCATTTGAGAGACATAGGTAAGATGCATGGGAAGATTTTAGCTCAACCAAAATGCAGAGAAAAAAACGGGACGCCACCAATTCTTTCTTAGGAAAAACATTACTTTTACATAACTGCCACTTTCATTCCCTTTGAAAAGATTGCAAACCACCTAAAGTGAACATCCAACATGGCTGCCACTTTTATTCCCTTAGGAAAGATTGTAAACCATCTATATTGAACACCTTCCAACATGGCTGCCACTTTTATTCCCTTAGGAAAGATTGCAAACCATCTATATTGAACATCATTCAACATGGCTGCCGCTTTTATTACCTTAGGAAAGATTGCAAACCATCTATATTGAACATCATCCAACATGGCTGCCGTTTTATTCCCTTAGGAAAGATTGTAAACCATATATTGAACACCATCCAACATGGCTGCCACTTTTATTTCCTTAGGAAAGATTGCAAACCATCTATATTGAACATCATCCAGCATGGCTGCCACTTTTATTCCCTTAGGAAAGATTGCAAACCATTTATAGTAAACATCATCCAACATGGCTGCCACTTTTATTCCCTTAGGAAAGATTGTAAACCATCTATAGTAAACATCATCCAACATGGCTGCCACTTTTATTCTCTTAAGAAAGATTGTAAACCATCTATATTGAACACCTTCCAATATGGCTGCCACTTTTATTCCCTTAGGAAAGATTGTAAACCATCTATAGTAAACATCATCCAACATGGCTGCCACTTTTATTCCCTTAGGAAAGATTGCAAACCATCTATAGTAAACATCATCCAACACGGCTGCCACTTTTATTTCTATAGGAAAGATTGCAAACCATCTATATTGAACATCATTCAACATGGCTGCCGCTTTTATTACATTAGGAAAGATTGCAAACCATCTATATTGAACACTATCCAACATGGCTGCCGCTTTTATTTCCTTAGGAAAGATTGCAAACCATCTATATTGAACATCATTCAACATGACTGCCACTTTTATTTCCCTAGGAAAGATTGCAAACCATCTATATTGAACATCATTCAACATGGCTGCCACTTTTATTTCCTTAGGAAAGATTGCAAACCATCTATATTGAACATCATTCAACATGGCTGCCACTTTTATTTCCCTAGGAAAGATTGCAAACCATCTATATTGAACATCATTCAACATGGCTGCCACTTTTATTTCCTTAGGAAAGATTGCAAACCATCTATATTGAACATCATTCAACATGGCTGCCACTTTTATTTCCCTAGGAAAGATTGCAAACCATCTATATTGAACATCATTCAACATGGCTGCCACTTTTATTTCCTTAGGAAAGATTGCAAACCATCTATATTGAACATCATTCAACATGGCTGCCACTTTTATTTCCCTAGGAAAGATTGCAAACCATCTATATTGAACATCATTCAACATGGCTGCCACTTTTATTTCCTTAGGAAAGATTGCAAACCATCTATATTGAACATCATTCAACATGGCTGCCGCTTTTATTACATTAGGAAAGATTGCAAGCCATCTATAGTGAACAGTATCCAACATGGCTGCCACTTTTATTACCTTAGGAAAGATTGCAAACCATCTATGAACATCATCCAACATGGCTGCCACTTTTAACCGTATAGTAAGCATAACCAACATGACCACCACTTTGATCTAATTTTCTTTCTTTCTTTTTTCCTCTAAAAAAAGTTGCTGTCGTCAAAAATAATAGGTTCCAAGCCATAAGAAAATTTGCTTATTGATTAGCTGATTCCATAAAGATTTGAAGCAAAATGTAATAAACGTTTACAGCTCTTAGCCTTTGAACTCTCTTCCATAACCAAAACTACCAGTAATAGCCATTGCTGATGTCCCTATTGGATGATCCTGGCTACTCACTGTAAACCGGTTCACTCACATCAACTTCTCATTTCAATTTTTTTTTGACAATATTTGCCACGCCCATTATGTATTTAATTTTACATCACGGGCTCAATCCGGCGGGATCCGCATTACAGCTTATTTCTCACGTCACGGTCGACCGGACCAAACTAGGTTAACTGGCTTGCTTTAACATTTGAAATATTCAAGGCATTTGTTTTTAAGAGCTGTTCTAGATGTGTGTTCGATAACCCCGTAGCCAGCTTCCGTGCTTAGGTCGGTGTTGTGCTACAGCTAAGTTCAAATTTATTATTATTAGTTTTTTGTTTTCTTAATCCTTCGCATCTTTTGAAAATGAATGCCCATTAAAAACCCCCACTTATGAAGATTACGTTGGACGATTTTACTCGAGTTTACAAACAGAAAAAAGTAGCTGAGCACCTTATCCAGCCAAAGTCAGACAGAAATATCGAATTACTCTAATTGAAAGATTGTAAATCAGACATGCCCACTTGCCTCCATAAATAGCACTAGAGTTTCTGAGTCAACTGCTTCTATTTATGGAAGTGCAATCAATCATATTTTTATGGTCATTTCACGGTCTACTGTCAGTCTTCTGTCACACGCATGGTTCGATGCTATTGAATGGGAGCTCCAGAGGACAAAATCTCCTTTGATCCACTTGTGTTTAATCGAGCACAGAATTGAAAATCGTTCACAACAAAGTTACTTCAACATTCATATTCATCGACGTCTATTTCCGAACTAATGTCTGGCTCGCTTTCCGCAATAAAAGACCACGTTTGTTTCGACCCAAACAATCGATCCCCGATACAAACCAAATGTCAAAATGAATAGAACGAATTGCACCCACAATGTTCGTTATTGCTTGCAGTATTGTAAATACACAATAGTCGGCTTGACTAGACTAATATGACTTACTGACTCACTAACGAGTAAAGTTATCATGTTAGCAATTTTGTATATTTGGATTTAAGTGAAACTTGGTTATTGATTCAAGATATAATTGTCGTATTTCCGATGAAGTTCCAGACAGCCAATCAAATAAAAACTTCAAACACTTTCAGTCGTGCCATGGAGATTCAAAACGAAATTACATTTCTTTTAAATTGCGGTTCTGACTCACGTCCGCCTGTTCGTTTATTGTACCGAAGTCTAATCATGAAATCCAGAACCACACTTCTTATGACTTTATTTCCAATTATTTTTACATCAAATAAGCTCCAAATGCATGAAAATAGCGTGCGATGTCATGAACACAATTTCGATAGGCAAAATCCACTAGAAAAATATTTTCTAAGTCACGATAATACGTCCCCTTTTAAAAGTGGTTGTTTTACTTAAGTTAAATAAAATTGGTTGCTTTACTTACGTTATCTTTCCAAAGGGTTGTAAGACTTGTATAAGATCTGTTTCTTTACACCCGTCTGCGACTGCTCGACAATGAATAACTCGTGAAGGTGGCGTATTGTGATGGGCGATGTTGTTGTTGTTTGTCGAGAGAGGAAAATGACTGGACGAAGATGTGACTGAAGATAAAGTTGTTGGTGAGAAAACTGCGACAAAATAAAACAAAAAGTACATAAATGGCATAATTGAATAAACGAAACAACAGGAATAATAGTAAGCTAATTAAGGATGTCAACCGAAGTTGTGCAGACGAATAAATATATTTTTTGGGCTGCTTTTGTACTTCAATTTTTTTCTTATAAATATTTCAAAATTTTCAAATCAAATACGAGAGAAGTTACAGTGGGTAACCTGGTTTGATAGTTTCACATAGTGAGCAAAAAAAAGTGATTGTTTCTCAAAGATTTCTTTTAAAATAATGACTTCGTATTTAACCCATCATTATTGCCGCAAAATTTCTCGTTTCGATTCGCAAGATTCAACTACGATAAATATTAGTTTTTGATTAAACTGAGATCTTAAGTAAACGGCTTTTGAAAAACCAACAGCGATAGCCCTGCAGCACATATTAATATGACCTAATGAAAGACCTACCGACGTCGTACAACAAAGGTGTACGTATGACTGTGACTGCAGTCTATAATCAGTCGAACTCAGTCAAATGCTGGAGGTCAGTTTAGTTCTCGATCACTGATGTAGAAAGCGCCTATACTTTTGATAAGTGCATGGATTCTAAACCAACCAGATGAAGCATGAACGAGAATAAAAAGATCGTAAATAAGCTCCAGACTAGAAGCTACTGGGAGACAGCGAGAGATGGCGAACGTGAATGTAAATGAGTGCCGAGTACTTTCCTAAACACTTAACAGAGTACTTGAATTAAACGAGGGCCCGGAGCGCCATTTACAGTCAGATCAGTTTGCTTATAATGCCTAACCGATGGCTTATTAATAACTATTTATCTGTATTAGCAAAATATGGTCAAAAGACAGATGGTATTGTTAATGGAGACAGCACAGAGTGACATATTGCTAATGAAGTGCTTGTAAAAAGATCAAAATAAATACGGCCGAGAAAAATTTTTCCTTCAAGGTCGTTGCTCTGAGACAATCTCACCTCCCTGGGTAATATTATGATCATCTACTGAAATGAAGAATTTATATTTTTAATCAGATTCTAAAATACTGCTTCAAAGATTACTAAGAAGCAAAATGCACGCCAAAAAGCTAAGACGCAAAGCTGATAAAATCTCGAAATTTTTGAAAAATGAAATGAGTATTTGACGTTGGAAAGAGGAGAGCGATTACCAATATCAATATTTGACAAGATTATTCTTTATGATCTCACGTCAGAGCCAATATTTGTCATCGAAGCAAAAACACGCGCCAATAACCGTGTGACAGCTCTGTTGTCATGGTTACGCTACACAAAGGAGGCTCAACTTTGATTTTGCTTCTCGGATTTGGAATATGATTCTCTAATACTTAACAGTATTAGAGATTCAAGATCGAGTTACGACTAATTGACATGACAAGAACCCCAAAGGCCCCCCAAAAGAATTTACCAAAGGTGTGGGTATTGCGTAAAACCGTTTAACTTATGACCGAGATCTCGCTACGCCCATGTCAAAAACTGATGTCCAACGGCGTTTTCAAGGTGTTCTGACCAAACAAACCAATGACTAATCATTCCTGGCCAATACCATGGTAAACGCCTGCAATACTAGCACATTCCCAGCGGCAATTGTATTGGCTTTCATCCTTTTAAAATGACCTAAGTTCCTTAGTTACCAAAGCTTTCTATTTTAAGCAATGAATGTGGGAATCAGTTAAGACATTCATCTAATTGCAGTCGGAAATTTAATTTGCTAGTGTCACTTTAATTTTTTTTTTGTGGGTTTTATTTTGGGTTGTTTCGGCTGCTTTTTTGATAAGCACCGCGTTACATATGAAATACATACTTGATCTTGATCAATCAGACCTTGTTAATAAAAATCAATTAATCCAATAAATGTGATGATTAAACGACAAGGTATCCTCAGAAGGGTAGAGTGAGGAGGTAATTTGCATCGTAATATCTCCTTATATAGTCTCGTGTCTTCAATCCAATATATGTAATAAGTATACAAGACAAGTCTACGGTATCCTCAGAAGAGTAGAGTGAGGAGGTAATTTGCATCGTAATATCTACTTATATAGTCTCGTGTCTCCAATCCAATATATGTGATGAGTATACGAGACATGTCTACGGTATCCTCAGAAGGGTAGAGTTAGAAGGTAATTTGCATCGTAATATCTCCTTATACAGTCTCGTGTCTTCATTGTAAAGCGGTTATTTGGCTGTTTTCGTAGGTTTTTCAAAGCTATATATTTTATAATAATTATTTCCTAATATGGTAGCACTATTTTACCGACTTCCTAATAAGGTAAACCGCTCCGCCTGAGGCAATGGTGGTTATTAATGGCGGGAACTCCAACTCTGAGGTATCTTAGATCTTATTACATGAAGTAAAGGTTCCCTAAGGCACGAGAAAAGTCAGTTTTCCTTGCGGTATTATCGCTATAGTTCTGCTGTTTGTCATATGCAATGACTCCTAAATATACCTCTTAATTTACCTTGGGTTTTATGTGTTCCCCAATTCAAAACATGTGTCATTCCCTAGAGTATTATTTCTTTGTTTAATGGTTGCGCAGGAGAAAACACACGATTATTTATGGTATAACTCTAAAAAAGAATATTATTCTTAAGACATTACCCCCAAACTAACAAGCTAAAATAGTCTATTGGGATCAAATCGTGGTCATGCCAGACTGACCCGAATCGACAAACTCATTCGGACAGTTCATCTTGCAGCACGTCCCTTTAACCAAGGTGCATTTTTTTACATTTCAATGCACGTGTCATTCCCTTCAGTATGGCATCTTGTTGGTATCGTCTCGCTGTTTAATATGTCCTTTGCAGTTAACGGACACGTGTCTGTATTGGAGAGCAAAGTTATTTTAAACTCATGATTCTTTTTAGCTACTTGTAAAGAACTGAATAAAACGATGTGTAACCAGTGCGTTACGAAATGCAGTTTTATTACGATCTCTCGAAACAGGTTGTAGAAAGTTTGTTTGCAGTCCAGTAAATTTCAGCCATGGGAATCAAAATGTTAATTCATTTGCTCTCAGTCAAATAATCAGCACGTGATTACCAAGCTTCAAAGGGTTGTGGAAAAGGAAATAATGCTCAAGAGAACTCATAACACGTGAATTGGATTGAGGAAAAATTAATAAATTACGTGTGGTGTAACTTCACCGATTTTTGAGCTGAATTTGAAAAGAATCGTATATTTACCTGTGGTATACGACTGAGTCTAGCAACCCGACCGTCAAGGCTGGATTTTTGATGGTAACACCTGATAATGATTACATCAAGGGTTATCGAGCTCACTACAACAGTAATTGTACGACATTGACGGCAGGTCACGAATTACACCAGCTATCAAGATTTTTTACTCTTGTGCTATTATCAACGGTGGCAAACTTCAGGCTCACTGTACTCATACTATGTGGCACCATCATACAGATGTATCTACATTAACCTTAAGCTGAGACTAGAGCAAGC